AACAGTAATGTATGTAAAAGATACGCCATTTAAGCCCAAGACATACAAACACTGCACTGAACTATAACATGAAATAAGAAAAAAAAAAAAAAAAAAGCACAATCTTTTCCCGCATCATCTTTGTTACTACACATGTAAGGAAATTACTCTGCTAAATTATCCATTGCAAATTGAGATGGGAAACATTCTCCTGTATTTCTGGTAAGCACGGAAGACAGCACTAAAGCAGAGTGTGGTGTTTCTAGTGATGCCTGCTTACTATGCACTACTGCCAGATCTGTTGTGAAATTTGAGCCCCAAGAAAAAAGACATCTCCACAATTTTCTCCCCTGCTCATTTCAGGCAAAAGACATGCAGAGCAGTTTTTATCTGACCATTTTAACAAAACACAGCATGGACCAATAACTATTTCTGACCCAGCAGGTTTTCCAACATGCTGGAGCTGGTTTGCTCCAGCTAAGGAAATCAGACTCTCCTTCATGAAGAACTCTATATTACAAATAACAATGCCTAACTCCGTTTTCCTAAATGTAAACTAGAACTTAATTGTCCATCTCAGGACAAATACGACGTTCCCAGGTATACTGGCCCAGATGTGCCCTTCTCTCCACCTTTGAACTGCTCTGCTGGTGTGAGAAATACCTAATCCTGCAATTATTCTTCTCAAGGAAATTAGCCAACAACTATTATAGGAACTGTAGCCTGCTGCGTGCAACTTCAAACTACACAACTGCGTACACTGCTCCTCCTGAGGCCTTTTTCCAGTCCACGAGCCCTTTCCAGTAAAGGAGCGTCTACCCCCTTTTACTCGTGCCGATAACCCCACAACGCCGTAACTGCATCTTCTAGCCCCTGATCCCAGCCTGCCTAACACACGCTCAGCACCTGCAAACACTCTCCTTCTGGAGCCCGCAGAGAAAAACTGCCGTTGTGCCACAGAACAAAATCAAAGTAGGATTTCTTTAGTTGTGAGGAATTCCAAGAATTAGTTTTAAAGAAACAGAGACCTAAGCCTAACCTCTTACCTACAACTTGGAATTTCCTTGGAGCAGCGGGGAGATGTAATTTAGACTCGGTACCTCCCTGTCCTCCAGGGAAGTGGAGTACAGCTTGTTTGTGGACAACCTGCTTTCCCTGCAGGTCAGCTCACAGCAGCTGATGACTGACGCCCTCCTCCCTTTGCGTAAGGTCAATTTTCTAACAGATAATGTCTCTCCAACTCCTCCTCCATGCTGGCAAGATGCCCTGTCATCCAAGCCGTGGTTGAGAAGTTTCTCCCCACACCTGGCAGCTACACTGAAGGAAAAATACATTGTTTAAGCCAACGCTCCTGCCTGCTTCTTCCACCAAATTCCTTGCGTTCAAAGCCCTGTAACAGTCTCAGATAGACCGACAGTAATTTGAGATGCATACAAAACACAAGCTGGAAAATCAGCATGTCCATCTGAGCAGCACGCAGGCATCCCATGGCTGGGCGTTCTGGATCTAAACACCGAGAATTACAGGGTTCCTACACCCACACACAAAAAGGTCAGTAACGAGGCTGCAATTCAACACAGTCATGCGAACCTCTGCTCTATCTGCTGCAATATGCAGCACCATATCATCCCTAATTTTCCGTATGTTAATTTTGAAATTCACCACAAACTTACTTAGAAGGTCTGAACTTAAAAGGAAACTATGCACTTTGAAAAGATGAAATCCTTGACTGAAACAGCAAGAGGGATTTCTCTATTCCAACTAAATGTTCATATAGATCCTTAGCTGGGAAAATATCCTTGTGAAGTCAGTAGCTATAGGGAGACCAAGTGATTTAGTGGATTAGTTTCTGGCCTTTCACCATTTTAACCCCACTATAAATCCTAACTCAATTAAAATCATTCTGATTAGGATCAAAAATCCACATTAAGTTTTAGAAAGCTTCTAAAATCTCCCCCTCCTGAAAAGACATCTATAAATAAAAGCACAAACCTCTGCCAATTTTATTGCTGAATTTGTCAGAAAAGTTATCAATGGTATTTTGCAGAAGAGGTGAGACTAGATGACCTCCTGGGGTCTTCTCTGACCTGAATTAATTTATGATGTGTACTGTGAGATCACACCTGAATCCATAAGCAAGTAGAGAACTACTCTCACGTTTTAATCTGCATTACAAGAGAACAGTTCTCTTGCAAACAAAAACTGAAAGTCTTTAGACAGTTATCTTCTCAAATTGGTGAGAATTGTTCATTTTAAGTTTGAACACACTGAAAAGACAGTAATACGAAGAGTTACATGCAGAACATCCCCCATGACATGACAGGCATCTATCCAGAACTAATACTGGTTTCTAACCAAGGCACAAAACACCACCAACGAAATCCAAGCCTTTATCTGCTCTAACTTATCTTAACATACGTCAGACTCGGCCTCATTAGCTGAAGTTTGGTAATGACACGAAACCCATTTTTAAGAGCACAGCTCTACCATTTCCCTTGTGGCGGGCACAAGAAAGCGGTTTAACCGAGAGACTATCACTGCCTGCCCTAAGATACTGCACAAAGGAAAGACTTGCATGTTGCTACATATCCCTTTTCCACACTGCCACGAAAGCGAAGGATAAATGCTTCTCCTACCAAACATTTCATTTCGCTCTTTAACAGTTGGATATGTCCGCAGAACATCAGAAGTACCAAAAAAGGAGGATGAAAAGGCACAGGAAACAATCTGATGCTTTAAATATATCTATGTAAGCAGGAAGGTTGGAAGGCGATAAGCAGCTGAGCTTCAATTCGTGCAGGAAGCTATGCCGCGTGTTATACATCCTTCTCATTCATACCTAGGCATTTTTGATTGAGTTAGCTGTCCAAAAGGTGGCTCAACAGGCTAGGTTGGAACAAATAGTTTGGTGTGCAACTCCAATAACATCCCATATTGGTGTCGGAAGAGGATATTGACAAATGACTTTGCCCAAGAAAGTTGTTCTGGCCCCCATTTAGTAGAAGGCAATCATTTGACACTGTCTAATGGCATTAATCAAGCTTTGAACCTTTGTTGCTTTATGTCATAGTAAATGCTTTGCATTTTCAGGTCTAAAGTGTTTGACTACACATTGTATATTAAAAACAAAAGACTTTAATTCATTAAAAATAGACTCTCACGCTAGATTAAGTTCATTTGCTGCACCCGTCCTTGGTCTGCCTTTGTGCGTGGTCTCATTTAAAACAGACACACATGAATCAGAACCTACTTTATTCACAGGAAACAAAAATACTATTGGCTGTCAACCAAAATAACAGACACTGAAAAATGGGAATACCCCTGGGTAAGGAAATTTTAATTAAAAAAAAAGAAGAAGAAGAAGAAAAAAAAGAAATTACAATGACGAAGAAGAAGCTGCCTTCTCTGGGAATTCCTGTTTCATCACCTTTGTCAAAACATCTCACGTTGTCTCCTATGTATTTTATAAGGTCTTTTGCAGATCTATTAAAGCAGCAGCTTCATTTATGCTCACTCTGATCCATATTGATAAAGATTATGAAGCCATTAGATGGCTCATTAAGTCTGCCTTTACTTACCCCCAATTAAGATTTCAGGTGTCTCTGGTTTTGAGCTAATTTCAAAGTGGCTGCCATCTGGGACATTCTCAACGAACATGATGGGCTCCTTTTGTAATGATGTATCACATTTAAAACTCTACTGCAGCAGTTCTGTTGCGTGCAGTCTCATTTTCCATATGTAGAGTTTTGTGCCTGTTATTTGGGGGGGTTTATTTAGAAATCAATCCAAAGTTTTGATCCATGGCTTTTATAGCACTAAAGTTCCTCCTCACAACTGACAGTTAAAATGCCTTTCGGCATAATGTCCCCTTGCACTTCTCCAGAAACAGTTCACAACAAGAGAGTTTTTGAGCTTTGGTAGGCAATACAAGCAGATTCAGACGTAGCAATGAAAAATAATTTTGACGTAAGTAACAAAGGTGTCCTTTATAGAAAACTCTTTTGAAAAGCAAAGATGAGGACCAGCACGGTGAAGTAACTGGGATCTACTAATCTCTTCTTTAGAGAAGAGAGTAGCATGAAAGAAAAAAAAAAAATACAGGCACATGTCACATCCATCCCTCAAAAAACATGCCGTAGAGAGACTTTCCTCTCAGTCCTCCTACCTGAATGGGGAGTCACTAGAAGGAAAGATTTTCATGGTAAACAAATACTGAGGAAGGGAATGGAAAGCACAGGCTCCATTTTGAAATTATGCCAGCAGAGAGCACGCAGAGTTGTTATGATACAAGAGCTCTTGCTGGAGAGAGAACCACATCACACAGGACTTTGGCAGTGGAGCATCGTTATAGCAGGCTCAGAAAATTTTCAGCATGGCCTTTATGTCTTCCATTTCATACTAGGTGCTGTTGCAACTACACAGATCCATTCATCAAGATATAGCACGAGGACATTGTGCCAGAAATATTGTATAATGAATGCAGCTTTTGTCAATTTGCAAACTTGAAAAAGTTTCTTCCATAAAATCTTTCAATCAACAACATGAATACAGCATCTTAACCTATTGCAACTGTGGTATCAACATTGCATATGAGAAATGAAGCGTTGCCCCTGTCACACGTTTTGATAACACTTAGGATTTTAACTTTGAATTTAACTATGGATTTAACTATTTAACTTTGACAAAATAAAATCTTTCAAGATTAAATACCAGTCTCAAAAAAGCCAGAGAGCGTGACCATGTGTGTCTATACATATATGTGTGTGTGTGTATACTCCACTGTGTGTGTATGTATATATAATTCCAGCCCTGCAGTTATAGTTCTGCCACAGACAGCATTCAGATTGTCAGGAGAAACAGATGAAAGCAGAAGATTCCAACACTGCATCTCACTCCATTTTCCCGTTATGGTCTGTATCCTTTTTCACTCAGATCCAGAAGGATGGATAAGGATTAAGCACAATCAGCTTGCAAATTTCTTTACTAGGCAGTGCAGGAGAACAGCACTATTTAGGACCTACCTTGCCCATTTGGTACATGTTTATGCGTTTTTCCTTTTCTAGGGGTTGACTGGCATGATGATGAAGCATTGTTTGTGGCTGTTTTTGTTTCCTCTGTCTCCTCCTCCTCCTCCTCTTCCTCCTCGTCATCCTGAGAGCTTCCAAAATATACCATGTTGCTGGGCAGCGCTGGAGAACCTGGTCATTATAAAGAAATGGCTCATTAGCGTCATTACATTCACTTCCTGCACTAACCATATTGATCATAACCCACTTCAGTGTTATGTATAGCAAGGGAAGAGGGGAAATCAGAGATGGAAGGTCACACTACTGCATGACTAACTGGAGGGGTTTTATTTATTAATTTTTACCAACAGGATACGTATATGCTTGCAAAGAAGGGTTTCTCCCCCTCCAACCACATTCTATTCATACTTTAGACAATCAAACAGCATTGCTACAAGCCCTAATTAATAGCTTTGTGTATTCAGAAAAGGACTAATGCACATGCTTAATTTCAAATGCGTGTTTAAGTGCCTCACTGAAGTCTTAACGCATAAACTAGAAGCTTACAGCTTCTCCAAACAGAAGAAGAAAGAAAGAGCATTTATGAAACAATCCGCACCCCGATAATATTTTTAGGTGATTATTACAATAAAATATTAGTATTTAAATTGCACAACGCTTTGCGGACTCCTACAGTATTGCACACAATGCTTTGCAGTATTCTCGTTCGGTTTTAAACAAAGAAAAAAAACGAGACATTGAGATGCTTAAATCTGCTAGCAGGTCCCTGGCACAAGAGAGAAAAGAGCAAAGGTCTCCCAATTCCCTGTGTGCTCCTCTTGAGGATGTTGCTTCTCATCACTTGCTTTCCTCCCATGACACTCCCCCTAACCTGCCTTGTTTGTGCAAGGGTAAGATACAACACGCACTTTAGTGAGAGAGAAGTGAGGATTCACAAGCTTAACACCACCACGGGGTTGTAATTTAAACGTTAACTCTTGCACAAAATTTCTTTTACGTGGGTCATGCAACAGCATATAGGTTTCTCTCCACTGCATCAGAACACGACATGACATGACTGTAGCAATCTAATAACTATTTTTAAACGTAAAAATACTGCTGACAACTAATGGACACCTTCCTTTATCCCTTAGTTTCCATTTCAAAATGAGTCTTCTGTCTGTCCCCTGGAGGGACAGGTGCCGTAGGAGCCTTCTACTTACTCACAAAAAGATTTTTTTTGGTGAAGAAAGGGCAAAAAATAGAAAGTCAACAGAGGTGAAGAATGGGGACCCATCGCTTCAATGATTTTCTTGTAGCTAAATAAGACAAAGCACAAGGAGAGCTAGGCTACGGACCAACAACACAAGGCAGTGGCATTTGGCTGATGTTTCCTTAGGAAACACTTCTGGCTTCAACTTCTTCAGAACAGCAATTCTGTGGTTTGTTTGGCTTCAAGCTGTCGGCGTTGCCATTGCCAACAACTAACTAAAGCTTATTTTTGGGTTGCTCATTTTCTGCTCCCACTAGGTTTGTACAAAATACTCTTAACTATAAAAAATACATTTTAATGAATGAATACCTAAATACGGCACAAAAACTAGGATAGAGTGTTTCTGCAATAAACCATCCTTTCCTAAGTGTACTGGTTTTGATTGGGATGGAGGTAATTTTCTCCATAGTAGCTTGCATGGTGCTGTGTTTTGGATTTGTGACCAAAACTGTGTTTATTACACAGAGATGTTTTAGCTACCACTGAGCAGCGCTTGCACAGCATCTTCTCTTACCTGCTTCTCACCCCATCCCACCAGCGACCAGGCTGGGGGTGCACAAGAAGTTGGGAGGGGACACAGCTGGTACAGCTGACCCCAACTGACCAAAGGGATATTCCACACCATATGACATTGTGCTCAGCAATGAAAGCTGGGGAAGAAGGAGGAAGAGGAGGCTTTCAGAGCACTGGCATTTGGATTCCCAAGTCACTGTTACCCATAATGAAGTCCTGTTTTCCTGCAGGTGGCTGAACACCTGCCTGCCAATGGGAAGTAGGGACCAAATTCCTTGTTCTGCTTTGCTTGCACTCGCAGCTTTTACATTACCTATTAAACTGTCTTTATCTTAACCATGAGTTTTTGCACTTTCATCCTTCCAATCCTCTCCCCATCCCACAGAGAGGGAGCGAGTGAGCAGCTGTGTGGGGCTTAGACCCCCACCTGTAAAGACCTTTGCTCTTGGTCTCTGCAACGGCCCCTTTGGGATCACAGCTGCCTTGAGGAGAAGCAGGGACAACCTCTCCGCTGGCACCCTGCGCTGTGCATCGGTGGTAGCCCTGGGACAGCTAGGGGAGACACTGCAGCAGCAACTAGGGCATGATTCTTCCCCCCTGAAATAACATACATATTAATCCATCCAACCTAGACATAAATGTATGGACACACAGGGTTATCCTAGGGGGAAAGCCTTTTGCATGCCACGACTTTCATATTTATACAGACTAATGATCAAATTAAGACTGCTGACATATTTCAAGGCATGGGAGCTGTAGCTACTTACAGAAACAAAAATCTTCACATTTTTTATGCAAGCCCAGAACTTTCTGGCACACTCTAAGCAATCAACCATAGTAGGTAAGAGGTGCTGAGAGGCACATTAATTCTTTTGCTTGCAGGGGAGCTTTAAGTCTCAACAGCAACTAACTAGAAGACCTCAAAACAGTTATTCTAGGACAGTGCTGCCTGAAAAATACTCTTTTTCCTTCCATCTAGGTACCCAAGTCTGTGGTATGGATTCAGAAGTTATTAGCTCTGCAAGTCTGTACTGTGCATCAGTTCTAATCAGGATCTGAAGTCTGGCACCGTCAGTGCATCAATGCATTGACAAACGATGGCAGGAAAAGAAACTTACTATTATGAACTCTCAAAATCAGATTCAAACACAGACTGAAATCTCCCTCTATTATAATTAGAGAAATAGTCAGAAATGTTATCCTTCTGAGACACTAAAATAGGAGACCAGATATAGTGTCTATTCTCTAAGCCTCATCTTCCCTAGAGTTCCATAACCCCGAGCTTTTTTGTCAGCTGCTTTCAACAGCAACCAGCAAAAAAATTATCATCTGCGACACAAATGTTATTACAATCGTAATAATTTTTCTTCTTTTTTTTAAAAAAAAAAAAAAGCACAGAATAACATGTAGTAGTGTGTCATTCTGCTTAGAAAGGACAGAGAGTCTAACCCAAGTGAGAGGGGAGATACAAACTTCACCTAACTCCTAGTATTCAATCATTGTAATCTCAGTGCATAAATCTTTGGTCAGAATGACATTTTTTAATTCTTTCCAATCGAGAACTATGAACAACAATGGTTAAACTGCATTCCTGGGACAGCTGGGACTGTTTGGGAAGCACATTTCCAGAGAAATTAGACCAGCAATGTCCAATAACACAGGAGAGTCCTGCTAGCCCTCACTTTACTGATCTAAGTGCTCTGCAATATGAGACCTCAGAGAAAAGCTGCAGTTCAGTCTGAGTCGCCTGCTCCCCTCCTCCTCCCCCCTAGCTTTTCCTACATATTTATTAAAATTTGCTTGTGAAACAGAAAGAAAGGAAAAAAAAAAAAGACCAGACTTGCACATTTTGTTCTATTTAAGCATTGTTATGGATGGAAGACATTGAAAGAAATCGGAAAGATTTGAGTTTTCTTGCTTACTTTTTATATTAGAACTATTTTTATCATTGTCTTTTATAATAAGATTTCAGTTCTGGAATAGCCTCAAATACTGAGAATTTGCTCACACCTATGAGTTGAGCTGGTTAAAACTGCTTTAAGTCTATGTAGCTAAACATGTCCAAAAGGCTGAGAAAACACTGATTTAAATACTGAAACAGGCTGCTCAAGCTCAAGATAATGCAAATTCCCTTTATGAGCAACCTGAAGGAAAGACAAGCCTGTAAGTACACTGTGATTTCATTCAAGCTAAAAGAATGACAATTATGTTGATTAGGCAACACCAAACGTGTGTAAGTGTGCGCAGTTGACATGAACTGGTGGTTCACACCAAGCAAAGAGCTAAGAGAACCTCCCAAAACTCCTCTTATGGAAATAAAACTCAAGACTTCTCATGACTGAAGAACTAATGAAGCTCATACGAGCGAAGCTGCACCGTTAAGAGTAGAAGCTAGGTAATCACTCACCTTCTTTATTATAATAAAGATTCCTGTCCTAATCTTTATTAGGAGACCAGACAAGGATGTGTAGATGATGCCATGGCCTACCTCTACAGGGGACTCCGTTTGTAAAGCAAAGCTGCTAATTTATATAAACAATACTAAGTAGTGTTACTGTAGCCACGGATGTCTAAGATCATTGGAGATGTGGAGAAGAATGTGTGCTCAAGAGCTGCTTTGTTTTTTCCAGCTGTATCAGTTGGTCTAACAAAATATATTGCCCTTCCTCATAAATCTGGCCTGTCATCATCTCAAGTGAGGAACATGGTGTTTTTTTCTTACAGACAGACTTCACTGAGAGTGGAAGCTCTCAAGTTTCTCCATATATAACAGATATTTATCACTAAAATGATGTATGACAGCAAGATGATAAAAACCCTCCAAAATGGCATGAGGATAAGGAAAATTGCAGGTTCACCAGATGCATACACACGTTCACAGAACATACAGTTGTAGGCACTTGCTTGATTTTTAAATTTATGACACATTTTTCTGCACATTTTTATCTTTGCCTGCACGCATTAAGCAACAGAAACCATGGGGCAGCTATGTCAGTTTGTCCTTGCACGTATTTTGCCAGCCAGACAGCAACTGTAAAGATGAGCCATCATCCCTCCTCTTCCTCTTGCCCTCCCCTGCACCAAGCATGATTCTCAAAGCCTACCCCAGGCAATTTAAGGAGTGACATTAGAATTTAATTAATAACTGACAGCAAAAGAGAAGAGCTGTGATGCTCCAGAGGGCAACATTTGCTCCTGGGAGGTGGTGCACGCCAGGTCTCAATGCTCTAGGTCTATAGTTCCCCTTACTTCCTCGTTTTCCATCCCCAAGAAAACAACAGAAAAATCTGAGAGAGAGCTACAAGAGCCTGTGGCTGTATTGAATTTTACAAGTCTCCTTCTGTGCCGGAGCCCCCAAGTTGTGCAGGTAGCAGCTACCATGGGCACTGCAGAGGATGAAGGGGAG